TTACTTTAACTTAAACTAAATAAATAAAATAAAATAAATAGTAGACATATAGTAGTAGGTACGTCGACGAACGAACGACTACTCCTTCCTTCCTTCCTTCTCTCTCTCTCTCTCTCTCTCTCTCTCTCTCTCTCTCTCTCTCTCTCCCTCCCCAAAAAAAAACCATCTCTCTTATTCTCTAAAATCCTTGCCTTTTGTTTCTCATTTCTCTGTCTATCTCATGTTCATAGAAATCTCTTTCACTTCCATCTTGCTCTACCCATTTCCTTTTCATTCTACTCTACCATATCTGCCTTTCTAGACATTCATTGCATTTAACCTCTTTTCAAGGTAGAAATGTATACTCCAGGTTGCATCCAAATACTATCCAAACAGCAAAAAGCCATTTTACCGGAAATGTTTTTTTGCAAGAAATGTATTCCACAGGAAATAATTTTTTCCAAGGTTTTAAATGGGGCCTAAATAAACAAGAAACCCTAAGTCTCATTTCTTTCTTGATATTTACAGCCCACAAATTTGACCATATTAAGGAAGTCTCCACAAAATATTTTTGAAGAAATCCTCCAACCAAAAGTTTCGCTTAGGACACATGCTTTTATTTTTAAATGGATAATGGAAAGCAAATGCTGTGGAATCAACTCAAAGAAATGACAAAAGAAAACAAACTCACATCATTTATCTTCTTCTCTAGATCAACAAGTGGTTTCTCGAAAGGGAGAGTCACAGGCTTGGGCTTCTCTGGCAATGGCTTAAAATGGGACAGGTAACTTAGATGACCTCCCTTAACATTTGGGTCTACCTGATCTGGGTCAGGCCATGGGTAATCATGCTTCTTCCCCTTTCCAATCTTTGCAAATACTCGGAAACCTTGACGGATTCTAACCCTAGTCCTTCCCAGATCCTTTAACCGAATGGCATGGCTTCCCTTGAAAGAAGTAGTAAGTAGATCCGAGGCCAAACCCTTGTGAGCACAAACAAGGGAGCCACCTTCCACTCCTCGAGAAATAGAGGAAGAATACATTTCACAAACCTAATTTACAATGCAAAGAACCTGAAAAAGAATATTTGATTACCATTACTTCACCAAATATGGCTTAAGCGGGGATTAAAGGATCTCAGAAACAAAGTAAGAAAACCTGAACTCTTCTTTTTTCAAAAAGGTCATTTGTTAAGGCTTTCAGCACCAAAAAGCCATTGCACTTGAAAATCCAACACATTTTAAACACCTACTTTATAATAAAGGCCAAAGTCTTTAGTAGCTTAAGAAATTGGTAAAAAAATATATAACCTCATTGAACTGGTAAAGCTTTATTACTTATTTCGACGATATAAAGGCCTCTAAAAGACAACTTATGTATCCAAATTTCAAGAAGACAAATCCAAAACTAGTAAAACATCAAGAATTATAAGGACCTTTAGTAGCACAGCTAATTATCAAGTTTTAAAATAGCGGTGACATGTTGATCAGATGAAAAATCTTCACAAACTTTAAAGTCTACAGCATCAAAAACAACGTCCACACTCAGAATTCACAGCATCAACACTGATCTGTATATCACAAAATAATAATAATAATAATAATAATAAAAAGGTTTACGAAATCTTTCCTAGGAAAAAGCAAAAAGGATTTAAGCTAACAAGATGGAAAATGATAACAGAAGCTATATACTGATGAATTAGAATAGTTTCAAATCCTAGAGTTCCAGGTCTGTGCATATTGGGATTAAAACAATAAAAGTTCGTACAGCACTCAAATATTAAGAAGCAAAGAAATTGAAGCAAGCTTGCCAATTATCTTAAACCTAAGGAACAATGTTGAAGTTCCAAAAAACTAAGGATTAGTGCTTGAACAAGTAAAAAATATAAGATCCAAAGAATCCCACAGAATAGCCTGTCTGAACTGAGATTTTAAAGAAAGGAAATTAAGATCCTGAGTACTACTAACAACCTTCGAGTGATGGCTTACAACATGTATCTCGAAGATTTCCAGCAACTGATAAGGCATCAACTGTCACAATAATATCAGCTTTGAGTTTAGAACTGAAAATTGAACCAAATTAGGTTCAGAATCAGGAAAGCAAAATCCATGCACAAAAAAAAAGGTTTACAAACCAGAGTGCAGAGCTCTGTCCCCTAAGTTAGAAACCGAAAAGCAACATTTCTGATCTAGCTAACTAGGTATTAAGCCACAGAGAACAACAACGCTACCTGGTTTTCAAGAAGGCGGCGGTTCCTCTCTGGTAAAATATCCCAAAACACCATTCTTGAGCTAAAGAACTAAGCTTTCCAGAACCGACATAACGCCATTTACACAATAATCGAGCTCAAAAGGCAAGAAATCCCAGCTAGAAACATAGGGCTTTGATCCATGAGAACGCCATTGATAAGCTCGAAAACAGAGAATCTGACCAAGTAAGCTAGGGTTTAGAACCGGGACAAGAGCATTTGCGAATACGCTCTCTGGAAAGTAGGGTTTTGTATTTCGTCTTAGTTAGCAGCATCGACTGGTTCGCCCAATGCCCCTTTCTTCTTTTCACCTGTTTAATTGTTCTTTGGCCTGCAATTCAATTTCGATGATATCTAGGCTGTGAATTTCGTGATAAAAGAATTATCCACAAAAATAAAACCATCTTTAGATGATCAATAGACAACATTTACGTGGTCCCTCGTGACCACCTTTACGGCATCATCAACTACCCCGTGCACATTTAGGTCGCATTTTATTTTAGCAAAACAAAAAAAGTAAAGCCTCGTCTTAAAACTCAACGAAACTTATATTTTTTGTTATTAGAGGATCTTCAAATCATTCATTTTAACCCTTACCATAGCGATTATGAAAAAAAAAAAAATTAATGGCAATCATTTGGGGTCTTATTCATATGAATAATGATCACCATCAAATTTGACATAGATCTCTAGAAAAATCAAATACACTATCATGTGATAACTTTTCTAAAGATCTGTATCAAATTTAATGGTAATCATTTGGGGTCTTACTCACATGAGTAATAATCCTATTGGACTTTCTCGCATCTATATATGTAGGACTCCAAATGATCACCATTAAAATTGGTACGAATCTCTATAAAAGTTATTACATGGGTGTGGGACTTGACTTTTTTATAGATTCGTGCCAAGTTTAATAGTGATCATTTGAAGCTCTAAACACATGGGTGGGAGAGGGTTCTACAGGATCACATATATATATATATATATATATACATGGGTGGGAGAGGGTCCTATAGGATCATATATATATATATAGTGAGAGAAAGAGAAATGACATTATGAGACCCTCCCACACCCATGTGTGTAGGACCCAAAATGATCACCATTAATATTGACACAGATATCTAAAAAGTTATCACATGGGTGTGGAATTGATTTTTTTATAGATTCAGTGCCAAATTTACTGGTGATCATTTGGAGTCTTACACACATGAGTGGGGGAGAGTCTTATAGGATCATTTCTCATATATATAATATTGTTCTTTATGAAACGGGCAACATGTTGTCCCTCAATTTTGACAAATGATGCGGCCTCTACCCATTTGGTGAAGTACTCTGTAGCCGTTAATATAAAACGGTTATCGTTTAAGGCTTTCGATCTGGACCATTGGGCTTATATTATTTCACGGGCTTATACCGTTCATTTTCAACATCTTCATATGTTTATAGATCTATTTGAAAACTATTTTTAGAGTTTAAAATTTTATAATTAAAGATGAAAATGGATTTTCAAAACATATTAAAAATATATATATCAAAATTACATTTATTATAAAATTTAGTAGTGTGCCTTAAATGGATTATTTAAGGTTGCAATCTTATGCAAACCACACCTTGTCAACAATAGTTGTAGTAGTGCCACTTTTTGGTGATGCACATATTTTAATCTAATTTTAGTTTTCTTAGACACCCATGCTCTGGTCCTGGTTCCATGCTACATACCATCATCCACCTGTTTAAACAAAAGTGTAATTAAATAAATACAACAACCAATATAGCACTAAAAATTAAAATTTTAGATTATAGGGGTTTTTATTATTTTATTTATTTAAATTATTTTTATTATAATTTTTTAAGGGTGCGGCTTGCGTAGAGCATCGGCTTTAAACAGTCAAATTAGAGCCTACCTTCAAATAGTATTGAAAAATGTAGTTTTAATACTGAAAATCTTTTTTATAGCCTTTAAATATATTTTCATCTTTATTTATAAAGTTTAAAGCTTAAAAAATCGTGTAGATTGAGAGATCTACGAAAACTTTAAAATTTTGAAAATTGATGGCCCAAAAATATGTTACAAAATACGCTATTTTCAAAACTTGAAATCTATTTTTTTCTCATGTCCATGGATCTTGATGTTGAGGTGATCAAATTGAGGATATTTAAACATCAAAACAACATCTTCCAGTGAAATTTTTGAGGTAGGCTCTAATTTGATTGTTTAGAGCCTCGGCTCTATATAAACTTTTCCCCTTTTTTTAAATAGATGTGAGATAATGAGAAGTATCAACCCCCCAAATTTAGAATTTGTATGATATATAAAAAAAGGATAAAATTAAAATACAATATATGCTCTCAAAAAGTGGAAGTTGAGCATAAAATATGAAATATAACAAGCATCTTCTAAATTTTGATACTAAACTTGAATCTTTTGTATTTCATATTTTCTAAGCCACTAAATATGAAAATTAACCAAACATATAGTCTTTGTTAAATGGTTATCATTTGGGGTCCTACACGCACGGGTGTGAGAGGGTCTCATAGGATCATTACTCTTGTTTTTATTATATCCTTCCATTAAAACAAGGCGAAAATAACCATAGCAGTATTACTATTATTATTGTTGTTGCAGCTACTGCTACTGTTATTACTAAAAACAACAACAACAACAAAATGTCAATAATAATAATATAATAATTTATCAAAATACCCATAAGAGATGAACAATTTAATACTCTACCCATATATACAATGAGACTATTTATCTTTAGTATAAGGTGGTCACAATTAACAAACTTTCTTCATTTGCACAATAGAATTGTGCTTGAGTGTGAATGTAAGTCTACAAATTTCTCAAAAAAAAATAAAAAATAAAGAAGATTTATCAAGATGGTAGGAACTACTTAACATTTCGCCAATGTTTTTTTATTCAAATTTCAAAATATCCGTGCAAAATGGTAAAATATTAAATAGTCAATCTCGTATAGATAGGTTGACAAATTTCCTGTAGACAAAATGGAATTTGAATTCAAAGGGAACACGGGAAAATCTTTTACTTTATTTTTACTTTGATTTTTCTTGCTTTTTATTGTTTAGAGTCTTAATTATCCAAGAGTTTCTTAATATAAAAAACTAACAAATTTGACATTAAAATTGTTATAGAAATTCACTATTATTCATAAAAGCTACATGTAAGCTAAATATATAGGGCAAGCTTTCTATACTTCCATGGAACTTATATACTTCCCCCTATCCAACCGTCCATTTTGAATGGACGGCTAAGATGACCTTAATTACAATGTCACGCCTCTACAATAGTTTATTTTTAATTTTTTTTCTACAAAACATTTTGACTCCAACTTTTGGGCATCCACCCCTTTTTTAAAAAACTAACTTCTAAAAAATATACAAACAATATTCCTGATAAAATAAAATGGCCTAAATACCCCTGAAAGATTCAAAGATATTTTGGTCATTACATTTTATCGAAAATATTGTTTTAATATTTTTGTTAAGTGCGCCCCATTGAGATGATGACACATATCAAATTTCATATCCGTATAATTTGTATAAAGAACTTAAAATAAAATATATTTTAAATAAAATACTATGAGGTGTCAAATCTAGAGGAAGACTAAAAACCTTTCCCAAATATATAAGTTACAATTTGACAATTCATCAATCTGACTCGAACCTACCCGGACCTAAATTTACTGGATACGGACTTGGACCAAAAAAATATAATAGTGTGGGACCTAGACCCAGACCCGGACCTAGACCCGGACCCAAAATATAACATATTTTCTCAATGCTTGAATTGCAATTTTGAAAGAGTTATAAGGTAAGGCTTTATTTATTTTGATACGATTGTCAACCATTTTTCAAAGATAAATGGTGTCTTTGTTGACAATCCCTTTTTGAGTATGTGGAGGTACTCATTGTAAGCATGAAATTTTCAGCAGCACGACTCAATAGTATATATACTTCACAAGATTAACCTCCAAATTATGAAAATTGCACTTGTCCTAAAAGACATAACCCAAAAGCTTGAATGTATTTCGGGTCGAAAAGTTTATGAGCATCCCAAAGTTTGTGCTTGGTATATGGAGTATCTCAGATGCAAAAGTCTTGCATGTAAAACAATGGAAAAGACATCAACAAAATTTGCCAAATGGAAAACCTTGACGAGGACTTCCTTACTTGAAAAAGTGAACCAACAGCTCATAGAGAGAGAGAGAGAGAGAGATAGCATTCAATAGCAAAATGAATTATACAGGTGGGGGAGAGAGGAAGAGAAGAGAGAGAAAGGGAGCAAAATAACATTCAGAGAGCAAAATGAATTACACAGGTGGGACCTTATAATATGAGAGAGAGAGAGAGAGACATTTTAAAAGAGAAAGAAAAGAGAGAGGGAGTAAAATAATAAAAAACGGATGAAGTTTATGTAAGGCGTCACGAAATCTCCATTATGGCTCTAAAATTAATTTCCAACACCGATAATAAAATTTGAAACTTAAAAGACATACAGTTCTTGTAGATCTTTGAACACTTATTTTTAAGATGAAATGGAGAGTCGAGATAATTTGTTAAGGTGCGGTTTGTATAGAGCTTAGGCTCTAAACAATCCAATTAACGCCTACCTTCAAATAGCATAAAAAAATGTGGTGTTTGGAAATCTTTGTGATAACTTTAAAATATATTTTCATATTTATTTATAAAGTTTAAAGCTTGAAAAATAGTGTAAATTGACATATTTATAGGCTTAAATTCAATTGTTTAGAGCCTAGGCTCTATTTAAACTTTTTCCTTTGTTAAAATATACACTATTTTTTAGAGTTCGAAATTCTAATTTTTTTTTTAACAACTATAGTGTTCAAGTAAAGATGATCGATATGCAAAGATTTTCTAATGCTCAAATTACAATTTTACGATGAGTTATTAGGTGAGCTGCAGCCCTATCAAACCATTTGTTTTTAAATAAATAAAAAAGAGAGCAAAATGAGTTATACAATAGTGGGGCCTTATGGTGGTGAGTAGTTGAGCGCTACATCTTTATTGACTACCCATGCATAGAAAAGCATAGACAAGTTCCAACTGCTGAGGCGGTTCTATGACTTAATTTTTCCAAAGTTTTGGCAGGTTCGGGCCTCACAAGTCAAAACCTAAAATACAAGGAAAATAGCTCCGGCTTAATTGCATAGCGCTTGACGATTTGTAATGATAAGTCTTAGGTTCAATTTCTAGCTCTCTCTCTACTAAATTGCTCTATATATATATATATATATATGAATAGTCTATTAACTCATATGAACATATGAGCCAAATATTTCAGATTGAATCTAGGCCGATCTGACGATCACGGATGTCTGGTAGTGTTTAAATTTTGTTTATATATATATATATATATATATATATATATA